TGATTGGTCAGTTGTTAAGTTTGATTGACACTCCGAAAAGGTCTATTGGGCTAAGATGCCAAAAATCTGGTTATGTGTGTGTATGGCTTTATTTGGCTAACTTGCAGTATATTCCTCATAATTCACTTTTAACGGGAGAGGAAAATAATTTATGTGAATTTCAATACTTTGAGGGAATTCGACTTTGATCTTTAGTGAATGTCCTTTTGACCATCCCGGGTATAATTAACTATTTGATTGTATCGGTTCATTGTATCGAATTTTAAAGAACTATATTTTACATTTCAATAATATTACAAATTTCAGTAGATAAACTGTTGTGGGCATAAATTTTACCCCTTACCCTATATAAATCTTAACGCTGTACAAAAACAGGTACCCATATTTTAGTTTACAGACACTGGAAATTGCTGGACATTTTTAAAGCTCATACATGAATGTATCTATAAATGATGGCAGGGTCCTTGGCCAAATATACCATTACTATCAGCATAGGCTGTTGGGTATGTTCTATTTTATGTTCTTACATATTCGTATATGTTTTGTATTTATAAAAGGCTCATTCTGGTTCATCAGTGGGCAACGTTTTACCTGAAATGACCAATGCTACGCCACTGCCTCCTAAGAAATATTTCGATGAAGCAGAATACGGAAACTGGTCATTCTTGCATAACCTAGAGAAGTGGATGACCGAATTAAACGAAAACTGTTTAGCAGAAGATACTGAGGCCGTTAGCTCAGGCTCTGGAGGCGTCACCAGTCGAAAACGGAAGCAAAAAACCACAGATCAGACTGACAGCCAGGGTGCTCAAAGCTGGCCGGTTTTGCTCCTCTTAGCAGAGTCTTCATTTGCGTTCGCCAAACTCATGACGTTCATACGAATGGTCTATACTACGGTTACGTCACGTGACATAGGGCCTAAGAAGATCTCAATCGGAAAGATGGTTTACGATATTATGTATTTTTTAATCATATTTACATTCATTTGGTTAGCTTTTTCCGTCGGAATGAACCAACTGTACTGGTTTTATGCAGGTTCTATTACCTCAGGGTTTTTAACGTAAGTTTTCAAAAATAGACTAAATCTGTTTTCGATATCTTTTTTTTTAATCACATCGAATCTTTGTTAATAGATATATTTCAAATCGTATAATATATTTTACACTCCAGCATCAGCACATATACCCAACTGGACACATAAACAAAGGAACACAACACCAAACTGTGTGCAACTGTCATTCATTACTTAAATGACTACCGGTATACTGACTGGGGATCAGTAGCTTACCTAATCAAGTAAGCTCCCCATGTAAACATCATTCTAAATATAAAACTACATTATAATCAAAGCACCATAAATATCGGCAAGTAAAATGTTCACACTAATTCCAATGATAATCAAACTAATAATAAGTACTACGTACTTATTGATCTTCCAGGCTTCATGGTAGTATTCGCTCGCTCTTCTGGGTGCTTTTTGGTATTGTGGATGAAGTACCCTTGTCTGGTAGTGGCATTGACAGTGACGTTATAGTCGCCGCTGGCTTTGTTATGTATTCGGCTTACCATATCATCTCCATCATAGTCTTGCTCAATTTGTTGATTGCAATGATGAGCGACACGTATGCTAAAATCGAAGTGAGTATAGAGTCCGAACTCATTTATTTAAATACCGCACGTACTTTTATTAGTTACGAAAATTTATGAGCATTTTTATTATTTAATCAGTAGTAGTAAGTAGGTCAGGTACTTAATTTTTCAAATAAATGATTACGCGTAATGTCCACATATATTATTTTTGGCGAGTTGAATTGCCGAGCGTTTCAGGGGCGCTGCAACCTACAGCGCTGGTTCGAACGGCACGCTCGCATTCTGGAGGTGGAACAAGTCTTCTCGGATGGACTATAAACCGTATAGTAGGCCCAATGTGCACATTGGCTCGTGGGCATTATAATAAACCCAGTACATCTTTCGAGACAAGTGGGGGCTACCCCGGTGTATTAGTCAATCTCACAGCCCCTGCCATTGTGGACTAGACTGCGCGCCTTCCTGGCCTATGCATGATGACACGACGGGACCCTTAGGGAAGAAATAAGTTGTAATGAGTAGTCCACATCCGTCTCGGGCCAAAGCCCTCAACTGTGAAGTTGGCCCTCCATCTGAAAGAAGTTGATGATACTGATGAATTAATATATTATACATGATGATGATGTTGCCGGTGATGATGATGATGATGGCGATGATGTATAGATGACAAAGATGATGATGGTGATGATTATAATGACGATGATGATAGTGATGACGTGAAAATATTCAAAATATATAAGTAGTCTATGTAAAATAATCAGTAGTACAAGTTAAATTCATGCTAACAATATTTCTATTTCTTAGTTTAAGTCTATCACAAATACACTAATTTGCCTAAAAAACAATGGAACACAACTGCACATAGGCCTAATAATAATAAAATTGAATAATTAAATTAAATTATATTATACATGATGATGATGTTGCCGATGATGGTGGTGGTGGGGAGGATGATGACGAGAATGATGATGGTGATGATAATAATGACGATGATGATGGTGATAATATGTTACGATGCAATTAAATTGCTATCGCGTATAATGGTTTAATGGTTTCTGAAACCATCGCATGACAAAATCTAGGAAAAACCGTTTGTCAATAAAACGCGAGTGAAATGCATTATATTCACGTTATCTTTGATAATAATATAATGTTGATCTGCTATACAATATGGTTATGATATGATAACGATATGGTATGATATGATACGATATGATATAGGATTATGATTAGCCTGGGTTCTACGCCTTAATATTTTTTACTCAGTAAATTCCGTGGAATATAATCATTTCTTGCGCTCTCAGTACTAATGTAAAGTCGGCGTAGGCCTACTGAGTTGTAACGGAGAGAGCAACTGGTGGTAGCCACTGTGTGTGCGCTGAACCGTGGAGATCTCTCGGTCCCCGGTTCAATTCCTATCGCTGCTTTCTTTGTGTTTCAGCTGGAGGGCTGAAATACAAGTTTCAAAGGCACACCGTCTTTCGGATGAGACGTTTAAGCCGTTGGCCCGGGCCCGTGTGCAAAATGATCAATCACGTTAAACGACGCAGTACACTCTTCGAAAAAGAGAAGGGATTGTCTCCCGGTGTACTACCAATCACCACCAGCTGGATCCCACTGGAAATAAGTCTTTTACAGACTTTCGTGGGTGATCCTTTGTGTTCACACCGAATAAATCCATCCATCCGTAATGCTTACGAAACTATTAAAAGATCTCAATTGAGATATAAAATAAAAAGTCTTTAAACATCGGGGCTTATTGACAACATTTTGAATATTAATGATATAGAAATGTAGCACTAGGCCTAGCGGTTTGAATTCCTAAAAATTGAAATATAGTTCTCATAGTGTCAAGCTTCATAGCCCACTTGCATTACTGAAAAAGTTACCCGGCGACGTTCAACGATCTTATCATTATCATGGAAGTCCATACGATCCCACAGCTTTCCACTTGCCTTAAGAGATTACGAATAGTAAGCTATATAATGTTACAGAACATGACAATACATCACATAATGAGAATGTAAAACATAAATGTGGTAATGGATGACATATCTCTCATGTGCTGAGATTTGTCTCACGTGACACGTCGGTACACAATATTTATGCTTAGGCTTACCGTCTGGATAATAGTACTTCTGCACGCTATAGCTGTTGTGAATTGTACACCATTTTAACTGTCATTATTTTTAGAAGAATAGGCCTAATTTAACCACATTTTACTATTTACTCTTCTTCTGGTTTATCTTTAGAATGATGCGGATATTGAATGGAAATTCGCTCGATCAAAGCTCTGGTTAGAATATTTTGATAATGATAAAGTTGTTCCGCCACCCTTTAACCTCATTCCCCGCCCTCACAGGATCGTTCAACTGATCAAATCGTGTTTATCTTCCGTAGATGAAAAGGTTAGTAAAATCTAGTTTTAATCTTTTAATTAATATTGTAGCAATGTTATACTTAGGTTTGTTTTTTAATCAGCCTAGATATTGTTGTACTTGTGGCCCGGTATATTACACATACATTAAAATGTAAACATTTAGTAAATATTTAATTATAAAATATAAGAGCAAAAACGACACACGAGTCTCTAAAATATATGAATTTCAAATTAAAGGGATGACAAGATAGTTTGCATTAGATCTTGCAATTCATGAAATACATAACGAAAGATAGAATTTCTATGTGACAAAGATGGAAAAGCTGTTACGTATTCTGAACATTGACATCTAATAATGTAAGTGGTTAGACTTTTTGATAGCAACATGCAACATGATCTCTGTTCTCTTATTTTCATTTGGTTTTTTTTGTTTTTTTTTCAGGAATTGCAGTTTGAAAAAAATCAAAAACATCATCTACATTATGAGGTGGGTATCTTCTTTATATGTATACATTTTTTCCGACGTTGCTGTACAATGCAGTTTAGATTTTTAGGACAGTTCAGTCATTTAAACGATACTGTTCACTTCCTGAGAAGTTTCCAGTTTCCAGTTCAAATATTATAACCTGGTAGGGTATGAATAAGTATGTCAGTTGCCTGGTATTGGTGTTTCTCCTTGTCAAATTCGTAATTTCATTTCATTTCATTCTTTATTTCGGAAATTGCATATCCATATCTATAATCGGTTTAAGCATATAATAATAACAACAAACAAAAATCCCTAACGACTAAACTGTAATTTCTATCGCAATAATACATATATATGAAAAAATGAGTATTGCGTATATTATACTTAATAAGTAGGTTCTTTTTATTGAAACTTCCAAGATAGTTTTCCAAAAAGCGAACAAATGGAGTCTCTGTAGCATAATAACAAAATACGCCAATAGATGATTAACAGTGGTCTTCAACTATAGTTATAATCGATCTATATTAGTTTCCCGTTAAACAACGTATCATTTTCAAATTAATGCTAATTATACATAGGCCTACAGCATTCAACGGCCAATCACCACAATACATTTGAAACTTAACAAAAATTAGTTCTTCATCTTGTACACGAACTCTCAGATCGACCACAAATGAAATCAGAATCTGGAATAATCTCCCAACTGAACTTAGGGACATTTCTGATTCCAATGTATTCAAACGTGCGCTCAAGACTCACTTGTTTGCTAGTACTTCCAATTATTATATTTCTGAGTGTTGTGTCTGTTGTACGTTTTTTGTTGTGCTTTTGTTGTTAATTGTTTATCAGGCGCGGATCCAGCGGGGGCCATGAGGGCCCGTGCCCCCCCCCCCCACCGTCGGTCAAGCCGAAAAATAAAAAAGAGGGAGAAAATTTTTGTTAAAGAGAGGAAAGGGGGTGTGGGCGTGGCCTTCATATTGTGCCCCCCCCCCCCCTTTTCAACCGTCAGAAAATCTCTGGATCCGCCTCTGGTTTCGACAATTGTGGTGCTTGTGATTTCGTGTTTAATGCTGTAGTACATGCTGCCTTTTTTTTACTGAACAATGATACTTGGTGTGCGCTTTACAACCGCAAGGAAAAGGCCCAACGTAAGAGCCAATTTCAGTACCCATACCAGACCACCTTGTTCCATCAGGTCGTCTGATGATGCACACAGGGCTTTTGCAGGTGCCGCTCCTAAGCTGTTGAAGAGCTTACCTGATTTCATTTGTCAATCATCTTCGGTGGGGATTTTAAAAATTCGGTTGGAAACCCATCTTTTTAGTACACTGGGGTAAACCATTTTTCGTTTTAGTGTTAATTTATTTATTATTATTTAGCGCATTGAGACAAATCTCGATTGTATATGGCGCTATATAAATACAACTACATTACAGTATAATTTTGTTTAACAGTGAAGGTTGAAATCCAAAGATTATAAAATTAGAGTTTACAAAAAAATAGTATTTTAATAACAAAATTTTTCTGCCATAAAAGTATTTGCAAATTTATTATAAGATGTAGTTTGAAGTTACAATTTGTGTATCTAGCCAAGTGTTTTATGAGTCATGGAAACAATTTAGACAACTAGACAATTTATTGCAATTGATAGAAGATACTGCGAATTAAAATGAAGAATTAAATTAAATACACATAGCAATAAAGATTATACTTTCGTAAATCAAAATTTTATCAAAATCTTTTATCTTTGCTGTCGATACCGCCTCGTATAATTCGACTTTAAATATGCGTGTATCTTTAATATTAATATTTTGATTTTTTTTTTTAATGTTCAATATTTAATGTCAGCAATTATATTGAAGCGCCACATGCACATGTGTTTTCGATAGAGTGTGGTACGGTTAAGGAGCTATTTGGCCTATTGTGTTTGTTGTTTTAAAGATGAGGAAATTGAGGGCAGATACAGTATTCTGTGGTAGCGTGTTAAAATCGTTGACCATCCTCTGGATAAAGAAATGCTGCTTGGTGTAAAAATTTGACACAGCAACATGTGCACATCAAGCCGTCAATTAGATGCATTTTATCTGACATGTCGACAACAAAAATAATATTAAAATATTGGTAATATAAATATAGAAGAAAATGCATAAGTAGCTCATTAAATCATTAAAAGAATACTTTCCAATTGATTCTCTATTAAAATCTCTTTTGTGCAATTTCACTGGATCGCCTCGAACGTTTTCAAATACTCATTTGTTACTAGATTGTACCTAATTAGTTAATAGTGTAGCCGCCTTTGGCTGAATTGGAATTGTCAACGATACGGCAGCAAAAGTCATCTATTGGCGTAATCCTGTGATATTTGGCATAACGTATTATAATTTTCTTGTAATATTACCAGTTAAACTATCGTATAGTCTAGTAGCAAACAATATACTTACCAGTAGGAGAAAAACAATAGTATTATTTAAGTAAACTTGACACCAGTTGTACTATTGCAGCTTATCCCAATACACCAAAACTTAACGTAATATAATTGACATAATATATGCATACATATTATTAAGAGATGGCACAAAAATGCTCCATCTTTGGCAAATCTATTAATTATGGGACAATTTGTTGACAATTTATAGCCCAGAAAACTACGTAAATTTTCAAACCTTTCTCATGTACACTT